TTTGTGGGCACAACCCACTTCTGCAGATGAATGGAGCTAGGGATCCAGAGGTACAAATGAATAGTAGAAAAAGCGGGGAAAGGGGATGAAGGAGAGGAATAGAGTGGGCTGTAAGTGCCTGATACTTCGCTTTTGATGTCATTTGGGAGTTGAATATAACAGCTCATCCAGTTCAAGTCTTTGTTCAAACCTTGGTCAGATGTCAAATTTGCATATGAGGCAAAAGGGACATAATCTGGTTCTGTGTTCTTCAGTGGGAAGTCCCGATCATTCGGGTTAGGATTTCTCTGTGGGTACTAGGGATGTTAACATGAGTACGTGACTTTCTCGGTTACCGCTCTCCCACCCCGCACAGCTGCCTCTATATCAGAGGCAGCAGGGGGAGGCAGAAGCCATTGCATGTGGAGAAGATGGCTTTTGAGCTGGTTCCTCATGCCTGCTCCCATGGAGCTGCCCCCCCCCTCCCGGCGCTGCTGCTTCTGATACAGCGGCAGCAGTACAGAGAAGGGGGCAGGTGGGAACCAGTACACGTGGGGAGCCAGCTACGTGCTGTGCCACCTTCCCCCCCCCCCTGCTGGCTCCCAAAGAAGCAGCAGTGCAGGGGGGCAAGTGTAAGCCCGTGCTTGCACCTCCCCCCCCCGTAAACATCAGCAGTTACACGTTTACACAAACACATTTTAACATCCCTAGGGCCTCGTTTCTGAGTTGACTCTGGTTCTTTACTGGCTCCTTGTGGGGTTTATATTGGGCTCCAGCTCTGGATTGTGTTGGGAGCTAGGGGGCCAAGACATGGGGTCAGTAGGGAGTAGAAGTGGAGGGGAGGTTGGAGTTGGGGAGCTGGGAGAATAATGCACATGTAGGGTGACTGGAGCAGGAGAGAGCAGCAGCGGTGTAGGGTGGGGACTTGGCAGAAGTAGGGGTGGGAACTGGGAGACTGGGGATGGTAGATGTGAGGGGAGGGGGGCTATAGCTGGGGATGTGGTAGGGTCTGCAGGGAGGGAGATGGGACTGAAACTGGCTTGTCTGTAGGGAAGGGGGACTAAGAGATAGGGAGCTGTAAGGACACAGGAATGGGAATGGCTGACAGGTGCAGAAGTGGGAGGAGGCTAGAGGGCTGTAGGAGATGGAGGGATGGGAGATGTGTGGGGGCTGCAGGGATGTGGGGGAGCGTAGAGGGAGGGACACG